AAATGAAAGTGGAGAATCCTGCAGCTCTGTAGTCTGGGGCCTGGATTCAGTGGTCCGGTGTGGGGACGCGACGGGGGCATGATGGGCATTGCTTGTAACTTTTTGGGTGGAACAGATGGAAGTTTTTACTTTAATAAAATGCATGATGTTTAGTAGTAGAGTTGACAATATGGTGATAAGGGGTGGAGTGTCCTAGGGTGACATTATGATGCTTCTATCCCCAATCGGGTGTTCTGTTTATGCTGGATATTATATTCTGTGCCTTCAAGACTGGCTCTGAAAGCAAAGGTGAGGAGAAGAAGAAGCACGGAGTTTGTTATCAGCCTGCACTCAGTGCTCCACATTCTGCTGGAACACAGAACTCCACTGTGTTGCCTGGCTATGGACAGGGCAGAACAGGGCCCTTCTTTGCTTTTTAGTTAGTTTAGCTAACATGTGAACATCACATACACACCCACAGGTCAATAAAATGGTGGCCAAAACAAAATAGCGCCCTGCCATAAAATAGTGACCAGAACAAAATGGCGCCCTATTGGGTATATAGGAGAAGGGTCTTCCTGGTCTGATGTACCTCAGAATAAACCAGAAGTAGGATGTACTTTTCCGGCCAGTCAATCACAATAGAGTATGTGACCGTAAGAGGAGACTTCTGGGGCAAATGGCCCCTGAGGTTTCTGGGAGGAGGTAGGACTTCTACCAGAATCTGAGTGTATAGCATTTGTCACTTTTTGTCTTTTATATCTGTGGTGGGTTAACCTTGGCTGGTTGCCAGGTGCCTACAAAGTCACTGTATCATTACTCTTCTTCAGTGGGACATGGGGGAGAGAAAATACAAAGAAAAGCTCATGGGTCAAGATAAAAGCAGTTTAATAAGGAAAGGCTGCCTGTAAAAGCAAAGTAAAACAAACAAAAAGATTTTTTGCCTACTTCCCACCAGCGGGCAATGTCCAGCCACATCCTGGAAAGTAGAGCTTCAGTATATGTAGCAGTTGCTTCAGAAGACAAGTGTCTCAATAAGGAATGCTTCCCCACCTTTCTTTCTCTTCTCAGCTTTTATTGCTGAACACAATGGTCTGTGGATGCCCCATCCCTGGAGCTGTTCAAGGCCATGTTGGACATGGCTTGAAGCAACCTGGTCAAGTGAAAGGTGTCCCTGCCCACAGCAGGGGCACTGAAACAAGATGATCCTTAAGGTCCCTTCCAACCCAAATCATGCTATGATTCAATGCTATTTTTACTTCAGTCTTTAACAATACCGACAAACCTTGGGCTTCCCAGTTTCCTGAGTTAAAGGACCACAACTTCAGGAACAGTGACTTTCCATTTGTGCACACTGAAAATGTAAGGTACCAGCTATATCAGTTGAATGTTCATAAGTCCATGGGGCCAGATAGGATTCATCCCAGAGTACTGAAAGAGCTATTGGATGTTACAGCAGGACCCCTCTTGATCAGCAGGACCCTGACCAAAGGTCTGGAGTCTGGGGAGGTCTCTGCTGACTAGAAGCTAGCCAGCATTATTCCAATTTACAAAAAGGGCTTGAGGGAAGACCCAGGAAACTACAGACCTGTTAAGCTAACCCCAGTACCTGGGAAAATTATGGAAAATATCATACTGGGTGCTATTGAAAGACATTTAAAGGACAATGCAATCACCAGGCACAGTCAACATGGGTTCACAAAGGCAAAGTCTTGTCTAACTAATCTGATATCCTTCAATAAGTGTTCTGGGGTGACTATATGATGCTTGTAACCCAAATCATCTGTTCTGTTTAGGCTGGATATTAAGTTCTGCACCTTTAAGACTGGTTCCAAGAGTGAAGGGAGAGAGAAGAAGCACAGTTTGTTTACAGAAACTGTACTTACTCCTCTGCATTCCTTCTCACAGACTGAGTTGTCTGCAGCATGGAGAAGGAGAGAGATCTCCTTTGCTTTTAGTTACTTTTTTTTTGCTAGGTGAGGCAAAGAAGTTTCCCAGACTGTGGCTTTTCTTTTTTTTTTTTTTTTTTTTTTTTTTGGAACTGTTCAAACCTGCTCTGGACTGAAAACCCAGAAAAACACTGTGAGCTCACACCTGTGGCCCACCAGGGCTCAGGACACTACATTCCAGTGCCAGAGGGACTGATGAGAGACTGAGTGGGCTGAGCTGCACCTCACAAGAAGGACTTTCTGGGTTTGCCATCTCTTCAGAACAGCGAGAGGTTTTGATGTCTGGTGTTATTCTGGGGTTTTTTAATGCTTGTGAATACTTTGCTGTAGCAATGATATTTTATGAAAAATCCTTTCCTAGGATTTTTCCCCTCCTGAGGAGCTGAGGGCCTCAGGAGAGAAATGTAAACAATAACTATCTGCTGCTGTGGAATGCAACAGGTGCATCTTCCATTGGGTCATGTGGATTGTTTTCACTTGATGACCAATCACAGCCACCTGTGCCAAGGCTGTGAGCAGTCACAAGATTTTGTTATGCATTCTATTCTATTCCTGTTCTTTGTAGCCTTCTGATCATTCTTTTCTCTCTGTTCTTTTAGTATAGTTTTAATGTAGCATTTTAATATAATATATATCATAAGATAATAAATCAGCCTTCTGAAATGGAGTCAAGCCTTGTGTCTCCACACATGGGGTGTTCGCTACAACAATTGGTGACCTCTGAATGTGTGGAATTGATGGTCACCCCAGGAGTGACCACAGAGTCCAGCCTAGAGCTGAAGAATCAAGACCCTGAAGATGGGCAGAGTTCACAGCCAAGGCGAACAGAACCTTTTGGAGTTTCCCGGACATCGTGTCCAGAGACCGCAGAGCAGCAGAGCTGCACAGCTGATCCAAGGACACTGTCTAAAGGTACTTTTATTTTTTCCCTTCCTGAAGATCCTGCCCTTCGCAGAATGTGGGAGGAATGTTGGCAAAATGTACCTTCAAAAACTCAGGTTCGGTTCTCTGCGTCAGATGAGAAAATGTTAATAATCTCTGGCACAGATGGGGATGCGAGGATGGAATTATTTTGTGGAAGAGACAATATTATGAGTTTTTCAGATGGGCAAAATTACATAGATTTTTTACAGATGTGGTATACTCCCTCGATTTAGATCTTTGGGATTTCATGGAGTCTGCTTTTGAGTGGACAAGTGACCAGGGTGTTAAAACTCCCGACAATGTATGCAGTGTTCAGAACCTTCTTCCCTGTTTTGAAACGAAGAGAGGCTGTGGAGGGCATCGCGCCCCGTTTCCACCAGACCCGGCAGGAGAGGAAGCTCTCGAAGAAGACGAACTGCTGGTTCCCAGCCCCCCGCATCGCCCACGGCTGAGGAAAAGTTTTCCTCTGCTCCCTTGGAGCATGCACAGACGGAGCTGCCTTTCCCCCCCGCTCTTTCTCTTGGGGGAGACGGGGAGCCGGCCCCGCCGCTTTCCGGGCCGGCCCCGCCCGCTTCGCCACGGCATTCTCCGTTCCCCGCACTCCGGGAGGGCGCGGACCCGATCCCGCCGCCTCCCGGGCCGACGGCCCCGCCTCAGCCAGCCCCGCGGGAGGTGCCGGTCCCCACGACCCCGGCGCGGCCCCGCCGTTTCCGGCAGAGCTTGCCGGCGTCTCGACCGCGGCAGCACCGCCTCCCGCCGATTCGCCTGTGTTGCTAGGCAACACGATTGACTGCAGCGACGATCTAAAAGAGCCTGTCCCAGAGAGGGGCTGTGTCCCCGCAGCTGTCTGCCCACCTGAGGATGTCCTTGGGGCCGACTCTGCGGCTGCGCCGCCCCGCTGCCACCCGGGCCGGCTCTGCCGGCTTTGATGACTGCACCTGCGCCGCGGCACCCGGAAGCGCTCCTCGCCGATGCCGCCGTGTTGCCAGGCAACGCGATCGACAACAACGGTTCCCCGGTGCCGCGGCCCATGGCTGTGCTGCTGTCCCCGGGAGCTGCAGGAGCTGTCTCCGTGCCTTCTCCCTCTGCATCGCAGCCGGCAACTGAATTCGCAACAGTGCAGGCGGCGCCGGCGCGGGCCGACCCCGTGCCGAGCCCGCCGCCCCTGCCTGTCCCGCTGCTCCCTGCCAACACGACTGCAGTGCAAGAGCATGCCGAGAACGGCACTGAGCCCACGGGACCGTCTCAAGACCCGGCACCCGTGCCGCCTGCACCGCCCACCCCAGCTGTCCCGCCGGCTTCCGGAGCTCCGTCCTTCACATCAGACCCTGTGGACCGCCTGTCCCTCCATGGAGGGGGCATGGCTCGCCAGCTGATTGCGAGTGCAGCCCGGCTGCCTGTTTTCACACTCAGCGTGTTTCACGGGTCATTTCGCGTGTGGTCGGTGAAATGAATGGGCAGGAGATCTTT